CTCCTCTGCCCTGGTGAGACCCCACCTGGAGTACTGTGTCCAGTTCTGGGCTCCCCAGTTCAAGAAAGATGAGGAACTCCTAGAAAGAGTCCAGAGGAGGGCAACTAGGATGATAAAGGGACTGGAGCACCTCCCCTACGAGGAAAGGCTGAGAGAGTTGGGCTTGTTCAGCCTGAAGAAGAGAAGACTGAGGGGGGACCTTATCAACACATACAAATATCTTAAGGGCGGAAGTCATGAGGATGGAAGCAGTCTGTTTGCAGTGGTGTCCAGCGACAGGACTAGGGGCAATGGGTGCAAACTGAAACATAAGAGGTTTCAGTTGAATATGAGGAAAAACTTCTTTACTCTAAGGGTGACAGAGCACTGGAACAGGCTGCCCAGGGAGGTTGTGGAGTCTCCTTCTCTGGAGATATTCAAAGCCCGCCTGGACGAAGTCCTGTGTAGAATGCTCTAGGAGAGCCTGCTTTAGCAGGGAGGTTGGACTAGATGATCTCCCGAGGTCCCTTCCAACCCTTGCAATTCTGTGATTCTGTGACTTAACCACCTCCCTGGGAAGCCCATTCCAGAGCCTGACAACCCTAGCCCTTTAGTGTTATGGCCCTTTGTCCGTAGTGTTAAAGGCAATTCCCTGTATGGTTGAGTAGCTACGCCTACACTCCACGGTACCTGCTGCTGGGTTTCCTCTGGTGTCTCTGTTGCTCTAACACATAAAGATACCCTGAGACACTGCCAACACCACAAATGTCCCTAATTTGTGCAACTGAATTGTGTCCACTTTGTTATATGTCATCCTCATGAGAATATCCTGGAAGCCTTAGTTATCTGAAGTATCACTATATCCCATGTTTAGCAACTGAATTAAATCCTGGTTTTCCACTGCCTGTCACAGATAAGCATCACAAACGTAAACCTGTGTCACTGGTTTCTCACATCATCGACACCCACATGTAAGCTCCTAAAACAGTTGTGTTAATCTCAAAATTAATTCCTCCATGTATCTTTTAGAAAGTTTCTCATAAAACTTCTTTCTTCAGATTCAAGTCCAACTTTTAGAGAAAACATGTTTCTTTCTGAAGGAAAGGAGGCAGGTTACCAATGACTAGGATATATATATAAACCACCACAACAGTTTCAAAACTGTTTGTAAGGAGCTTCAAAAAGAATTATTTTAGAGTGATGTACTTCTGGCAATTCTCTGTATTTTTTGTTCAATTTAAACTGAAAATTAACC